TATAGCTTGGCAACTCGAAGTTTAAGCGCCCTCCATAAATTTTCTATAGGATTAAGGTCTGGAGACTGGCTAGGCCACTTCCCTGACCTTAATGTGCTTCTTTTGAGCCACTCTTTTGTTGCAGTATGCTTTAAGTCATTGTCATGCTGGAAGACCCATCTTTAGTGTTCTGGCTGAGGGAAGAAGGTTCTCATTCAAGATTTTACAAGACATGGCCCTGTCCATTGGCCCCTCAATGCGGTAGAGTCGGCCTGTACCTTTTAGCAGAGAAACAGCCCCAAAGCATAATGTTTCCACCTCCGTGCTTGACTGTAGGGATGGTGTTCTTAGGGTCATAGTCCGCATTCTTCTTCCTCTAAACACGGTTAGTCGAGTTAATGCCAAAAAGCTCAAGTTTGGTCTCATCTGACCACAGCACTTTCTCCCAATCCTTCTCTGAATCATTTAGATGTTCATTGGCAAACTTCAGATGGGCCTGTACATGTGCCTTCTTGAGGAGGGGGACCTTTCGGGTGCTGCAAGGATTTCAATCCATGGTGGCATATTGTGTTACCAATGGTTTGTTTGGTGATTGTTGTCCCAACTGCCTTGAGATTATTCATAAGTTCCTCCTGTGTAGTTCTGGGCTGATCACTCACTTTTCTCATGATCGTCCTTGCCCCATGAGGCAACATCTTGCATGGAGCTCCAAACCAAGGGTGAATGATGGTTATTTTGTATTTTTTTTCATTTGTGAATAATCGCTCCAACAGTTGTCTTCTTATAACCAAGCTTCTTGTTGATTATCTTCTAGCACATTCCAGCCTTGTGCAAGTCTACAACTTTTTAGGAGCACCTTCTTTAATTGACAGGACTAATCCTGTGTACCACATGAACTCATAGCCAGTCTGTTGGGCCAGAATTGTTGATTGGTAGGGGATCAAATACTTATTTAACTCACTGAACTGCAACTCAATTTATAACATTTGTATTGTGTTTTTTTTTTTTCTGGAATTTTGGTTGATATTCTGTCTCTATCATTTAAAATACACTTATGATAAAAATGATAGACCCTACATTTCTTTGTAAGTGGGAAAACTTTCAAAATCTGCAGGGGATCAAATAAATATTTTCCCCACCGCATTCTTCTCCACTGATCTGTTGTCAGGTTAGGCCATATTTCATATAGTGGTGTAGGATTTCCGCCTAATTCAGTGTAAAATTGATATATCTGATAGGTATTCATTATTTTGCTTACTGCAGTAAAAGAATATATAAACCCAACATTTCATATTCCTGATATGTGCCTGCTGTACCATGTGCTTGTAGGGAAAGTATAATGTTCGCTTTGTATTGTATCCTTTGTGTGAAATCCCTGATGTTCCAGCCAGTCTCTCTGCTTCCTACTAAAACTGATCACACTAGGCATGAGATCACAGCATGGTAACTCTAATGATCAGACTTATGCTGACATGCCCCCTCTGCATTGCCATTCACTGGGAAGATCAGTGTGCTGCTGTTTCTCCTCCACCAGCTCTCTGAACTTCCTATGCAGCTGAGAAAAGAGGGAATGCGATCACTTCTAAAAAAAAAAAATTACATGTTTTCCACTTTTTATATTTATACGTATACATAAATGTTTTGCCTTTCATTGCTATTTTAAACTGAATGCGTTGTTTTACAAGGTGAAGGTTTACACATGCTTGAAATGTCACTGCAATTATTGCAGCACAATCTTTCTTTTGTCCAGTACAACATACAAACTGGGAATAAAAATGAAGATCCAGTTTTATTATTTCTTTGGATTTCAGCTCAAGGGTTAACAGGACTCTACTGAGCTGTCATGTTGATCCTTCTTTTGCTTTAACAGTGGTTATTGCTTGTAGGTTTACCTGTCAGTTGTCTAGGACTAGTCTGATTTTGCATATGGGGCGTATGTTTGTTTTGAGGTGGTGGGGGTGAACTTTGGTGTACTTCCTATTGGATATCTATTACTGACAGAGATCACTAGGATATGTGTGCCATTTTCATAGTAGTTTATTAACCTAGAAGATACATGTGTTTTGAAGGTGGGGGGGGGGGGGGGGGGGGGGGGGGGTGAAAGTATTCGGTCCACTCATAGGATAACTCAATCATTGAGAGACGTCGCTGAGATATACAGTATGTGCAGTTTCATAGGAATTTTTTTGTTTTTTTTATTCATTTTTTTTTTTTCTTGTATGCTTTTTACACTTTTTTTTTTTTTTTTGTTAATGCAAACTTTGTTTCCAGTATTGATAGCAATATTTTATTTTTTTTTTTTTTGATGTGGTATTTGTAGTTTAAACCTTCACCCCTCTTAGGTGCATCAAATATCTGCAAAATATATCCAAAAACAAGAAAAGATTGCATTTCGAAAGTCAACATTAGTCAGAAAATCATACAGCATTACCAAGCTCCTTTTTCCCCTTAATATCCATTTGGGTACATGCTAGTTGATAGAATTAAAGTAGGCAAAGCATTTTTTTTAAATTTTGGATAGAGTATGGGAGTGTTATAACCCCTGTCAGTGTGTGTTTGTTTTTTTTTTTTTTCTTTCAGTTTTCCATTAAGACAAATCTTCCCAATTTTCTGTCCCCTAGCCAAAACTAGGTCGCCAGAGCTAGTATGCCCTTTAGAAGTTTTTTCCTTATGTTATTTTTCTGGGGACAAGCCAAAATCTGAGATTTATTTATTTATTTATTTTTTTACTTTCAGTGATAATGGTAAATAGGACAAATAAAGAGGGAGAATCTCCCTATCGGGGGAACAGACAGCTATAGAAACCTAATAGGTGTTCTAATCCCTCTCCACTTTGTCCAAAAACTAGAAAAAAAAAAACCAAAACTTGCCTTTAGTTATACTTTAAAGGAGAAGTATTACCAAAACTATCTTGGCCCTACTTCTGGGGATCGCAGGAGTGCAGTTCGTTCTGCACTCCTGTGACCCATATTCAGCCGGTAGTGGCCTTAAGCCCGCATCACTCCGTCAGTCCAGGCTTGGGAGAGATCCTGACTTTACAGTCGGGATCCACCCAGGTGTCTGGACAGGCAGTTGGCTCAGCCTCTCAGTGAGCCATTGGGAGACTGAGCCAGCTGTTCCCAACACCTCCACAGCTCGGCACTCCAGTGAGCTCTGGAGGGGAAGGGCACAGAGCAGTGACAGTCTTAGCTCTCTTCTCAGTGAAGAATGAGAACTAACCAATCAGTGGTCTTTGCTCTCTCAGTTCTCAGTCTTAGAAACAGCAAGAGAAAGATGCAATCAGACTGTTACATTCACCCATGTGAGTATAATTTTGTTTTTCTTTTTTTTTTTTTTTTTTTTTTTTTTTTTTTTTTTTTTTTTACCTATACTTCTTTTAGCATATTATAAGTGAAACATTTGTGTAGTAATTAAGAATGGATCATAGCTGTTGGTGCCAACCACCCTGACCACGTTTTCTAAACTTGTGACAACCCCGCTGTTGGTAACTATGCCTCACTAATGTAAGGTAAAGTTTGACCTCTTCTCCCAACATTCAGCAGTAGGTCATAAGGGTGATATCCTCATCCCAGCAAGGAGCTTTCTGGCTAAGAACAAACATCAGTTAACCACTAACATCAGTGAATAATTACCAACAGATACCTATTCAAAAAACACAGGTTAAGGGGGATAATAATATACACTCACGACCACTTTATTAGATACACCTGTTCAATTGATTGGTAACACAAATTGCTAATCAGCCAGTCACATGGCAGCAACTCAATGCATTTAGCCATCTAGACGTGGTGAAGGCAACTTGCTGAAGTTCAAACTGAACCAGAATTGGGAAGAAAGGGATTTAATTGACTTTGAAATTGCCATGGTTCTTGTTGTCAGATGGGCTGATCTGTGTGTGAAAATCCCAGTAGATCAGCAGTTTTTGAAATACTCAACCATCTATAGGGTTTACAGAGGATGGTTCAAAAAGGATAAAATATCCAGTGAGTGGCAGTTGTGTGTGCGAAAATGTCTTGTTGATGTCAGAGGAGAATGGACAGACTGGTTCAAGATGATAGAAAGGCAACAGTAACTCATGTCAATGTGTCAGTAGCTCATGTCAAAAACTCTGAGGAATGTTTCCAACATCTCATTGAATCTATTCCACAAAGAATTAAGGCAGTTCTGAGGGCAGAAGGGAGTCCAGCCCGGTACTAGCAAGGTGTTCCTAATAAAGTGGCTTGTAAATGTATGTGTGCTAAAGACATTATTAATGAGGTCTGTAATGTCCTGCTAGTATCGAATAAATTTGTGTAGTACCATACCAAGTGCAGTAAATCGACCATACCTCTGTTACATCTAGAACACAAGGGATTAGAATGGCTTTGGCCAAATTTGCACATCCATTGAGGGGTCTTGTAAGTGCTATGCAAAGTAAATAATTGTGTAAGTCTTCTAGAAGTAGAAACGGAAACAAGGGGGACATATATTGAAGAATAGCATTCTATATTGGACCCACATCTTGTTCCTGTTTAAGTTTGCAGGGAAGAGTTGTAGACATCACCTGTGTGTAAAGTACACTGAGATTAATATGTGATATAGCTCCCATTTTCTAGTTGAAGTGATTATTAAAGCAGGACAAAACCTATTAAATTAATGGTTTCTTAAAACGGTTACATTCGAGGCATACTGTGAATGAGAACTGTCACAGTTGCTTGTGCTCGCTACTTAACTGTCAAGCCATCAAATGGTTGGTATCCTAACTAATCACATGTGCAGCACCACGGCAACTGCATATCAAATCGAGGCTGAGATGGCAGCTTCTTTAGCTGTAAAAGGATGGGAGGGTTTAGTTCTACTTTAATAACTCTGCTTCATAAGGAGTCAATGGGCCTTTTTTTTTTTGCTGAGCCTGTACAACGTGTCTAAATTGTCAGTATTTCATAGGATTTTATTACCCAGAACATACATGTTTACTACTGAAGGAGGTCATCGAGCTGTGTTTAATGGTTCTATTTCTTTCATTTAGATTTCAAAAGAAATGGTTTCCAGTCTTTCATCTCACAATCTTTTTATAGTACATAGGCTACATGTTTATAGGTACTGACCAGGTTTGTTCTGCCATGGGTTCTTCATACCAGGGGCGGACTGACAACTCATGGGGCCTCCGGGCAATAAGGGATCATGGGGCCCCTATGTCCTCTCGCCCAAACTCAATCCACACCCAAAAAAGCCTATGAAAGGTACCGGGGACATCTCATGGGGCCCCCTACTGACCCCGGGCCCTTGGGCAGTGCAGGAGTTCCCCAATGGTCAGTCCGCCCCTGCTTCATACTGTATGGTTTAGTGTTGGCCCGGAATAGCTTTGGTGCAGAATAAGGTGAACATGTGTAACAGGGTTTAGTTCGTGTTTTTAATTTTTTAAATTTTTTTTAGATTTTATCCTACAGATAAGTTATATTCTTAGACGTAGCTTTTCAAGGTTAATGCACAAAGTGATATACCGGTGGGAAAGTATGACTGCGTGAGCAAAGCAGGGCTGCGCTTCTAGGCATATCTAAACCTAAAATGAATTTAATATATTGCTGCTTACCTATCAGAGGAACTTCAGTCCCCTTTCATTTGGCTCAGCCAAAAATAAAATGATTATTACAATGTGATAGAGGAAAGGGGAGGAGACAGGGCAAAATTATTGCATTTGTAAACGTATTTAATTTTTTTGCACAGAGCGGCCCCAAACCTCCTCTTCCAGGGTTCCCTGCAGGTGCTCCAGGTTCCTCCTACTCTCAATGCGCCACCATAGGAAGTCACTTCCTATGGGGCACACCAGCGGGCTTGATCCCAAGCCTGGCTGTGTGCATCTATTGACACACAAAGCATGTCTCAGCCCCACCATCAAAAAAAAATTCAGCATGTTCTACTTTTTTTTTTTTTTGCTGCTCCAGAAACTGACTGGAACTGCCTGCACTGGTGTGAACTAGGGTCATTGGAATACATGGGAAAACACTGTGCATGCATTTTTGATGCAGGAAAAAAAATGTACTGGACTGTATCTGGTGTGAGCCAGCCCTTAGGGATAGTTCACACTAGATGCAGTCCAGTGCGATTTATTTTCTGCATCAAAATGCATGCACTGTGTTTTTCATGTATTCCAATGGCCCTAGTTCACACTAGTGCAGTCAGTTCCAGTCAATTTCTGGTGCACAAAAAAAGTCAAACATGCTGCATTTATTTTCTGCACAGAACTGTACTGAAACACAGCAAACTGCACCGGAACTGCGTGTGGTGTGAACTGTAAGCAAAAACGTATCCGGATTGCACCTGGAGTGCATTTTTGTGGCGTAAACCAGCCCTTACCCTCGGTTCACATCTGTGCAGGTGGTGCCGCTGCAGGACCTGCACAAATGCCTCCAGTTGCACCACCCACACAGAGGAATGCAGGACCCGAGGGGGGTGCCATTAAGTCTAATGGCATGCTGCCCGCACTGAACTAGTGCAGATATTTCTTCCCTGCGTGTCCCGGGGCACAGGAGTCCATTCAAATGGATAGGCTCTCGTGCCCGCAAAAACCGCGGCCCGCAGGAACGCACAAATGTGAACCAGGGCTTAGGGAGCATCTAAAGATAGTAATTGTGTCCATTTGAAAGATGTACATTTTGTCTTTGGATTAGGCCTGAAAATTAGTAGTGTGAGATCACACAAGACACTGCTTCCGACTGCTGATTCTCAGATTTGAAGTGAGATTTGGTGATCTGCTTCATTCATTCTATGGATCTCCAATTTTCTGATCTCTGTGCTTCTTCATGAATATTCCTCCATCTGTCATTACCAGCAATATTTAAAAGTGGGAGGGCACAGCTCTGACATGAGGAAGCAAAGCCCTGCTCCTCTACCAAGGCTGCCTCCTCTACACAGGCACAGTAATAATATGGAAGTCATCAGGAGAAACCACTGAGTGCTAAAGGGGAACTGGAGTTGGACATTGCCGTGTGGGTTCTTAAGAAGGCTTTAGCTGGCCATTTCTGTGTATAAAATGTCATTCGGCAGCACTGGTGGCAGGTGAGTTAAATCTGAGGCTTCTCTCCTGTATTGAAATTGCATGTTCTGATTTCATTGTACACCATGAGCCCGCCTCATTTCCAGTCTGTTCAGCATTCTCTAACCCTTTCCTTCCCAGCTTCTTTACTTCCCTGGCTTGCCGCTTTCATTAATTACATTTCAGTTCTTTTAATCAGAGGCTCCGCATCACATGTAGGTCTTACCTATGGTGGCCTGCATGCAAATGTAGTCTACTTGAGAATGCAGACTCCTCCAAACTCGCATCCACCAATCAAGGAATTTTGTTGTCTGCATGTTGTACGTTTTCTTTTGTGATGTGATGTTTTCAGAATGCTATGTACAGCCATCCCGCTAGCTGTGTTTTGCCTGTGTTGCTTAGAGAAGCACAGAGATCCAGTGATCTCATTTGGTCCTACATAAGGTATGAAATAAGAATGGCAAGGTTTCATTTAAAAAAAAAAAAATACTAGTAACATGAAGAGGGAAGGGAGGCACAAAGGCAAATAAGAAAAAACTTCAGCTATAAGTATTTATTTTCTCCTTTATAGGTATGAAGTAATGGGCACTTTTAGTATGACCGCAGGGTCCTTTTATCCTTAGAGCAGCTACATTGTTCATTCTAATTCTAAGCAACATGGGGCCCATGCCAAAAGCTGCCAACCACAGACTCCTGACGATGAGAACAAATGTTTTGTAATAAACACAATAAAATCGCATGAGTCACTCACTCTAAGTGTGAGCACATTCGTATAGCTATCACAATCAATTTTTCTGCTTGCTTGGAATGTATAAATTCAAATTTCTCTCATACATACAGTATATTAAACACATTTTTAAAATGGAACTTTTAGTTTTGCATAGAGTGAGGAAACATCCCTCCTATGTTAATTGCCATCTCTGCCCACGTATTGAAGATTTTCAGTTCTTGTTTTGGTGGCATTGGGACAGTAAAAGATAACTTTGTGTGATTATTAAGGTGCCAAAGTATAATCTGTGTAAAAATAGTGATATTGGTATCAGAGATCCTCCGTATACCAATATTACTGCTGCCCCTATTAAAATGAACCAACGCTTTTAAATGAGTGGATAAGTGCTGTGGTCCTATACTTGGTCTATAGTAGCAAATATTATCTGGAAAGTGAAAAAAACTCAAGTCGTGTATCAAAAAAATTATTTAAATGAACAATAACAAATATTAGTGAATAAGCAAAGTAAATATATAACCAAAATAAGAATAAATAACCGATTAAATCTTCATTGCGAAATATGATCTCTAGCACCATTGTTACTGTATTATTATTATACAGGATTTATATAGCGCCGACAGTTTGCTCAGTGCTTTACATTATGGTGGGAGACAATACACGAGACAGTACAGTAACAATACGATTCAATACATGAGGGGTTCGAGGGCCCTGCTCCTTGGAGGAGCTTACAATCTAGGAGGGAGGGGATAGTGGTACAGGAGGAAATAGCTGTGGGGGGGGATGGAGTGATAGGAAGAGTGGGGGAGTTCAGTAATTAGCTGAGGGCGGGGTAGGCTTCCCTGAAGAGATTTTCAGAGTGTGCCTAAAGGTGAGCAGAGTAGGTGGTAGTCTGATGGATTGGGTTAGGGAGTTCCAGAGGATGGGGGAAGCCCTGGAGAAGTCCTGGAGACGAGCATGGGAGGAGGAGACCAGGGAGCTAGAGAGTAGGAGGTCTTGTGAGGAGCGGAGAGTACGTTTTGGGTGGTATTTGGAGACAAGATCGGTGATGTAGTTTGGGGCAGTATTATGAACAGCTTTATATGTCAGTGTTAGTGTTTTGAATTTTATCCGTAGGGCAATCTGGAGCCAGCGGAAGGATTGGCAGAGGGGGGGGGTGGCAGATACAGAGCGGTTAGTAAGGTGGATGAGTCTGGCCGCAGCATTCAAGATAGACTGAAGCGGGGATAGCCTGCGGTGAGGTAAGCCAATGAGGAGGGAGTTACATTAGTCGAGGCGTGATATCATAAGGGAGTGAATGAGTTGCTTAGTGGTTTCCTGGGTTAGGAACGGTTTTATTTTGGAGATGTTGCGGAGGTGGGGTCTACATGAATTTGTCAGTGATTGGATCTGGGGCTGGAAGGACAGATTGGAGTCTAGGATGACACCTAGTACTCTGGCTTAAGGGGTGGGACTGATGGTAGTGTTGTTGGTCTTGATGGAGAAATCAGGGGGGGGGGGGGGGCGCGGGCTGGGGGGAAAACTAGGAGCTCCGTTTTGGAAAAATTTAGTTTGAGGAAGTGGCGTGACATCCAATCCGATATGTCGCTCAGTAGGCTTGTGATATGGGCGGAGACTGAAGGGGTGAGGTGAGGGGTAGAGAGATAGATTTGCGTGTCGTCGGCATAGTGATGGTAGTTGAAGCCGTGAGAATGTATCAATTGGCCAAGGGAGGAGGTGTAGATGGAGAAGAGAAGGGGCCCGAGGACAGAACCTTGAGGGACCCCAACCGAGAGGGGGAGTGAAGAGGAGGTGGCAGCGTTATAGGTAACACTGAAGGAGCGCTGATAGATAGGAAGAGAGCCAGGAGAGAGCGGAGTCTCTGAGGCCAAGAGTGTAGTTTTTTGAGGAGGAGGAGGGGGTGGTCAACCGCGTCGAAAGCCGCAGAGAGGTCAAGGAGTAGGAGCACTGAATAGTGGCAGCAGAGAGATGGGTCTTAGGTTGTTCAGGTCGGTGGGATCCAGGGAGATTTTAAGTGTGGTAGTGATGTGCGTGAGCTTTAGAGGGGATGGGAAGGTGCCAGTAGAGAGGGAAAGATTAAAGATGTGAGTGAGGGAGCATAGGATGGAGGAAGAGGGTGATCTTAGGAGTTGTGTGGGGACAGGGTCAAGGGGGCAGGTGGTGAGGCGGGCTTCTGAGAAGACCTTAGTGCACCATGAACGTGTTCAAATGATGACCATAGTTACCAACGGAAATGACAGTCTATAACTCCATGAAGGGCCAAAACACCATAAACTCCTTCCATGTTCACCGCGTGCCTGAATAATAAGTGAATTGCTCACTCACCAGACTTTTTTGATCCCAGTTACGGTGGTCAAAAAGCTCTTTTGGTAAAAATATGGCAGACAATCTGCCTCTGGTTGTCCTATGGTATTTCTCCTACTCATCAATGGACCTCAGGGGGTGCAATCCGAGAAGATGATATTGGAATTTTTACTAAACCATACAGTGCGCAATCGCTCTAAGACCAGCTCTCCATTCTTTTAGTAGAATATACCCAGCCACTCA